GAAAGTGTGTTCTTCTATTAAATCTTTGTTAACTTTAATATATGTATATAATTTATATTATATACATTACATTAACACGAGCACAATAATTCATATATTAATTTGATATTACTTATTCTTAAAAAAATTTAAATATAGAGAAGAAATATTTTTAATGTGAAAATATAATAGAAAATATCTTTTTTAATATCGATTATTACGCACAAAATCTTACACATAGGCTTTTTGCTAAATTAGAATTTATAAACGTTTTTATCGCGATATACGCGTAAAGCAAATAATAATATTAACAAATGTGTATGCATGAATGAATAGAATTATCGTTTAAAAAAATGGGAAAAAATTTTATCATCAACCAGCACTTTGGCAAATTGTTGATTCATTCTATTATAATTGCTGTAACATCTGGAAGTAGACGTCGATAGGTCCATTTGGCAGAACCGATTGTCCTCACGCATAGCAATCAGACAGAGTGCGAAACGTTGTACTTACGTATGCACACTGCCATCAGCTGAATCGAGCTGTACTCGCATTTTCTCTCAAACGAGACTCGAGCGGTTCGATACCTCAAGTGATTAAATGAATACAAAAGGCTTTATTTGTTAAAATAATGGATTCTTTTATCCTTTTCCAATATTATATTAAAATTGTTTAAATAAATATTAAGAATTATAAAAATTAAAACCACGATAATAATTTGAAATAGAGGAGGGTTAAAAAAGGAATAAAAAGCCTTTTATCATTCTAAAAATCCCAAAAGGATTATAATGGTGTTTTTTACTTTTTAAAATAATTAATCATTAATGATAAAAAATATATTTTGTCTCTTTGAAAATAAACAAGTTTGCTAACATTTTCGCGATCGATTGCTTGCTTCGGAAGTGAGAGAAAAAAAAAATAAACTGTAATTGTTAAGAAGATTTTTTCTAGACGCATTGTCAGAATATGTCTGCGGATACATTAACGGTTCGAACTACTGGTAAGTGTCTTGGTACAGCACGCCTATAAAGTTGGTGCGTCGCGGAACCCATGCATAGATGCATATAAGGATCAGCGAGGTACTACATAATGCATCACCGCGATTTTCTCCTCTCCCATTATATATATATATATATTGTATATATGTGTGTGTGTGTGTGTGTATCTGTCTATCCAGCGTATACGGCATCGACTAACGTGTTTCAAATGGAGCCCTTTGTGCCTGCGGCCTCGGCATCGAGATTGAATATAAACGCGGGAATAAGAAGCCATTTTATCACGCTTTCCATTGAGCTTTTACTCTAGTGAAATTGAGGGCTTAGGGCGGAGGCTTAGAGAATTGGGAGAATTCTTCCTCGGCTTCGTTTGCCGTGAAAATGAAATGACGTTGCCTCGTCGGGGAGAGAGAACCGCTCCGCGCATTTCTACCCACATTTAATTCGTATGGTAATTGTTAGCATTTCCAAATATTTTGGCTCACCCGGTGTTACTACGACCATGAAATCGGAACGCTTCGCGATACGAATCTCACGAAAATAAGAACGCGCTTGGATTTGTTGGTATTTAATTAGAAAACGGTCTTAAAACTTGGGAACAAACTGTAAAAAGTTAATCAAATTGAATTAATGCTTTCAGAAAGTAAATCAAATAATTTTAGAATGTATTTTATTAATTCTTATTTGTCGAGTTGATTCAAATAATTCGGAAAGCACATATTATTTCGGAACGCGCCTGACATTTCGT